CCCTTCATATCCAATGATAGGGCTTCTTATCAATCAATGGTAAGATAGCAATATCTAAAGGAGGAGGAAATGAACAAAGATTTTTTGAGTAGGTAGAATGCTCGTAGTTTCTTTCTCACAACATTTCAAAACATCTTTCAAATACACCAACACTTTTCCATGAAATATTTTCAAAAGTCAACACTTTATATGCATTCTTATAGAGACGAGAATCATTACAAAGTTCACCTAAATGAATGCACTTTTCAAAAATACTTTAGAAAACAATCACAAGCACATTTCAAACAAAGCATTTCAAAGTGATCAAGCAACTAAGAGCCCGTAGATAACTACGAATGAAAAGGATGCTAACACCTTCCCTTTTCATAATCTATCCCCCGAACTCAAGAAAATTCTCAAAAGGTCTTTCCTGTTCTTTGCATCCTTTCCTTTATTAGATAAAAGAAAAGTCGGTGGCGACTCTTGCTATCCGAAACAATTGTGATAAAACTCAAAACACCCAAGTCAGTTCTCCCACTGTATTACACCTTAGATTGAAGGTCGCTCGACACTCTCCGACCGGAACCTCGCTTTGCTCTTCTCCTTATTCCTCTTCTCTGCAACTTCTCACAACCATTTTCCAACAAATTATCAATTAACCTTATTCTTCATTTAAATAGAACCCCACAATATTATTATTCTTAATGGGCTTAACAACACCCCCCCTATATTTCTACTTCCAACCGTTAAAATTAAACCCAACACAATTATTCTATTATTCTACTAATTCTAGTATTAATATTATTATTAACCAACTAATTAATTAACTAGTAATCGTCTAGCAACTTATACCAATAATTCACAACATCTCACAACTTCAACGAATAATTCGAAAATAATTTAATATAATAATTAATTAAATTAACGGGCGTTACAGAACACACTCTTAGAAACAAACAATCAAAATGGATCCTAATGAGTACAACGAATGCGAGGGGTGCTAATACCTTCCCCTTGCATAATCGACTTCCACACCCTTTCTCTTGGTCACAAGACCATCTTATCCTTCCCTTTGGAGTTTTCTCAATATTTCCCCTTCCTTCAGGATAAATAAAGTTTGGTGGCAGCTCTGTGTTTTTTTCCGATTGCTTCAGTGGCTATAAACTCCAAGAAGCTTCAAGGGAGGGTCTTCGTACTATTGAAATCTCACATATCAGATCCCTTATAAGGCAACAACTTCTTCTTCTTATTCAATTCTAACTTCTCAAAGAGTTCAGTGTACATAATATTACACAAATTTCCCTCATCAATAAGGATTATCGAATACTTAAAGTTTTCCATGGTCGTCGTATAACCACGGGAAATTTTTCATTGGGAATCTGGCCTACCTTCTCGAAGAGTTTGGCATACGTAATATCACACAAACTTCCCTTGTCAATAAGGATTCTCAAAACCCTGAAGTCTAGTTCGTCGTATGTAATATCACACGAACTTGCCTTGTCAATAAGGATTCTCGAAACCTCTAAGTTTTCCATGGCTGTCGTATAACTAGGGGGAATATCTCATTGACAATACTGCCTACCTTCTCGCTATATTTAAATATGAGGATGAACCTCTCTGGTTTCTCTTTAATGAATGTTTCTTTTCTTCAACTTGAAAATTTTCCTCTACATAGTCTCATCGGATGGTGTCTTCGAACATGAAAAACCTCCATAAATAGATGTGATGAAGTTATATCCCCCTATGACGGAGGCTATGAATTTTATTTCCATCTATGATCATCATCCTCATTATCAATGTTATTTTTTCTTCCATGGTCTTCATGACTATTTCAACCGTCTTTTTTTGTAATGATTTGTCCCAGCGTGGGACCTCTTCTTTCATCGTGAGTCATCTCATCTCTTGAATTATCTAGGGGATCCCCTTCTCCTTTCATGGTCGTGTCTTCATCCTTCCTCCCGGACATATCAAATTCTTCTTCTTTTCTTTATCAACTCTTTAACGACGTCTTTAAGAAGGACAGACTTGTGCGTGTTATGCCTGTGACTTTTGTGGAAGCGGTAAAACCCGAACTTGTTTTTCTTGAATGATTTTTTGATGGGATAAGGGTATCTTACTCAGGCTTCTATGAACTAGATATTTGTGCAATCTTATAAGAATTTCTCTCTCGATGTGTTGAGAGGGATGTAAGAAAAATATTACTTGTGATCCTTATTATTTATCCAAGTCTTTGTCTGTGTGTCTTTATCTCCATATCGACCATTCATTGGGTTTTCCGATCCTTTGTTCATTTTTACATCTTTTGCTAGCATATTTTCATAGGTGATATACGGTTGACCCCTATCGATAGGGTCATTCATGCTTCTAGCACCTTCCACTCCTAACTTTTTACAAAACATGCAGTCATTCGTTAATCCTTTTTCAAAGATCCAATATTTTAGCCTGTTATTTGATCTCATACCTCTACCGCCATCTTTGTGAATTAATTTATATACTCCCCGAGGGTCCCCCTTTTTTAATGAATATAACTAAAGAAAAATATTGTCTTTAGTCGTCGCTTTCAATTTGTGAATTGGCCCGTAAATTCATCAAACGACTTTTTCCAAGAGTTAATGGAATTGTCTGGTAGGTTTTGAGACACGTCACGACAACTCCTTTGAGAGTTAGCATAAATAATTTTTATTTCACTGTTCCCCTAGCGTGGAGATAGTTGAGCATGGTTTCTACGTGTTCAATATGCTCACCCGAGTCGTCAGTCCTATCGTAATATCCATCTTCATCGACTTTTTCAGACTTAGGAATTATATTGTCAATAATGTGTTTTGAAAACATGTTCCTCTTGTGGTGAGAAAGGCCTAGTCATTGGCACCTTACTTATCTCTTTTTTGGAATGGTGCGATGGAGATCTCATTGGACGAGGATATTCAGGAAATGTGTGATTATCGTATCTTCCTCTAGAATCATTAGGAGGAGATTGGCGAGCCTAGAGACAACAGTGTTCTTGGAATCTTGAAACCCTGATATGGTGTTGTGAGGCCGCATCAGGGAGAATCTCATTAGGCGTGGCTTCGAGGTTATCACGATGTACTATCTCCCGTTGTATGCGGCCTCGCGACAGAACTATTTGGTGATTTTCGTCTACTCACAGGAATCTCTCAACTAGAAGGTGTATGTTTGGTTGATGTACCAAATTGTAAATGTTAGTGATTGGTTCATTCACTCATTGCATTCAAAGTGTGGTATGAAGTTGTTGAAAGATCTCTAACATTTATGGTTCAGGAGCTTGCGCTTGCAGTTGAAGTTTCTTTGAAGTTTGGACTTGAAGCAACTGCTGAAAGGATGGAAGGACGAAGTGGTTTTGAAGGTGCTTCAACTGGAGGAACTAAAGGTTGAATAGATGAGATTTTAGGAAAAGGTACTAGGATTGTATTGATTCCCTCTGTAGGAGAAAGTGGGACCTTTTGTGCGACAGCAAGGACTGACATAACATCTTCTGTCAAGACCGACATTGCGATGAATGACTATTCAAACTGACTTCGAAGCCACTATCATAAGTTGAGAATGTTAATACCTTTTAGATCGTTTGATAGCGTACAAAGAAAGCTTCTATTTTATTTATATGACTAATATATTAAAAAGAATGACTAATAAATATTTATCTATTAAAGAAATATTGATTGGATTTCAAGAACTTAATCATATTTTCCAAAATATTTCTTCAATAAAAATATATATAATCTTCAAGAATTTTGTAATATAAAAATAAATAAGATTCTTTATTCAAATTAGAGTAATATAATTTCTTTATTTCACTTTCTTTTTACCTAAATATTTTCATTCGAACTCGTTCTAATTGACACCAAATTAAGAGCATCCAGATCCAATTAATGTTACTAAAATAATATTGTTTGGAGATATAAAAATACTTTCAAGTTTCAATCCAATTTGAAATAGAACGAGAGGATGTTTGTTTGCAGGAAAAAATTTAAATACATATAAACATAACACTTGATTTTATAAATAATTACTTTTTTTATTGATTAAAAAATAAAATATAATATCTTTTTTTTTCATTATCACAATCATCTCATGACATCAATTTAAAAAAATTTAAAAAAAATAAAATATTTTTTTATTTTTATTGATTATTTATAATAATAAAGATTTATGTTTATGTAAGTTTTTTTTCTGGTTTGCATGCGTTTTTTACTAGAAAGAAAAGAAGAAAAAAAAACTTTATATCATCACCTTACAAATAGAAACATTTTTATGTTTTCCTTTCAATCAATCTAAGTCCACTTTAGGATTCCATATTTCTAAACAAGGCTAAGACTTGAGGAAAAGATATAATTAAAGGGGTCATGAGTAAGATTCGAGGAATAGTGATAAAGGTGAAAGGTACAAACACCTAACTCAAATAAGCCTTTGCAAAACCCTCAATTGTTGCCCATAAAAATAGAAACATTATTTATTTTTATTTTTTTCAAATTCCAAAATCTTCTTCTCTTTATATTTTGAAGGTCAAGATCTCTCACATTATTTCTTCAATTGGTTTCAACACAAAAAAAGATCCTAACCCAAAACATCATATCTTTCATTCTTTGGTATGTGAAGGGAATAAAATCGAATATGATTCTATCTATGTAATTGATAGAGCATGCATACTTCACTTGATATATGTTGGCTATAATCACTCAAGTTTATAATCACCTAAAGTGATTATAAAAATATTTCCTTAATAAGATAACACAAGCGCTTGTATCTTGATGGAGATGAAACAAAAGGAGAGCATGCATACTTCACTTGATATCAATCACTACATGCCAATTGCCAAACACCAACCCTATATATGTTGGCTATAATCATGTTTATAATAGATCTAAAATGATTATAAATATATTGCCTTAACAAGAGAACACAAGCATTAGCAATAGTGTATCTTCATAGAGATGAAACAAAATGGAGAGGGAAAATATGAGTGAAACAAAGAGGGTATGATAGTTTTATTTTTGTGACTTTTTTCAGTGATGCATTGTGTGGTTTGTTGAAGGTGCTAGTTTTGGTGGACATTGGTAGCACTTAGCAAATAATCCAAATGTGTCAACTTGTTTGATGAAGTTTGTCATACTAGCCCAACCTCCAAATCCAAAGCCTACTATAGTAACCCATATCACCACAAATGCATTGATCACATACATTAATGTCCAACTTGGCATAAATGAGGGCAATTTCTCTGCAGCATTCTGAAAAAACGAGGGGGCATGTGATTTAAATAGTACTAATGGTACTATAAGACTATAGCATATAACTAAATGAAAAAGAGATGGCACCAACCTTATAAAATTTTAATATGAATCACTAATGATTAATAGAATTGGTGGGACCATAACATATATTACCAGTGAGATGGGAAGTCACTTCCAAGTTAAATCATGAAGCTAGAATCATATTCTCAAAACACAAGTACACTATTGTAGCATTCTTCATTGAAAGTTTCTTCTACAGTTTTAGTTTTTCTTAGGGTAGGACAAGAAAAAACAGTCCTAATTTAATTTTGTTGTACATTTGTACTACTACATGTGGCTACCAGCTGTACATAGAATTTATGGCAGCATAATAGTAACCAAATTGACTATGAGTCAATTTGGACAAAATTTTTTAACACAAAATTATTGAAATGTAAAATTGATATCATCCTACAATGATTATGAACCTCCAAACTAACAAATTATTCTCATAACCTCATGTAAAATTATTTTATGAGATTATATATATCTTTGGTTTAACTGTGACAAATTTTGAATTATCTGCGATAACATGTTTTCCGCGCCCTCTAAGGCGCCCTGAATGATTGACTCTTATGAATAGAATTTCACTATTTACATTTGAAGAGACATGTTTTGACTATATCATATGAAAAAAATAAAAGAGAAAGATGTGAGGAGATAAGAGCCCTTACCTGTCTTGCAGAAGCAGACCTATAAGTGAGCATATGAGCAGTAGCAGGAATGACATAGACAGTGAAACTAACCAAGAGAGCCCCTACAGCTGAGTTAATAGGACCAAAGAAAGGAAAAATTATAGCCAAAAACCATACTGGTATCACCACAGGTAACCTTGCAAGTGCCCTTAAAAATATGCTCTTTGTGTCATGCATTCCTACCACTTTCTCCCACACAAAGTACAATGGTGTACAAGCAAATCCAAAGGTAATAAACTGTCATTCACATACAAACAAAACCACATCATCATGAGTCTCAAAAAAAATTTATTCATTTAGTATAATTATCGTTTAAATCGGTCCTAAGGCCAGATACCGAACCTACCTGGTGAATGAGCATCAAGATAACACCGGCATCACGCCATCTGTTACGAGGGAGAAGAGAGAAAGCATTGGAATGATCCAAAAGTTGGTCACCAAAAGCCCAATAAACAGCAATAGAAGATGGTAGGGTAAGTGTAAACACATAAAGTGTTGCATATAAATAGATAGATTTGAACTTTTGAGGTTTCCACATTGCATGCATGATTTCCCTGTAATAATAATATTAGTCAAAAATTAGTATTTTTTAATTTTTCAGAGATCGAATGCTGGTCTTTTAACTCCTTCAATTTTAGTGTCTATGCACAACTACTAACTGAGCTGATATTCATAACTCACATGATCCATGTTAGTATCATGTTGAATATGCAAAATGACACATACATATTTGCTATGCTTTCTTAAAGATCAAATTCCTTCTATGTATACTAATATGCCTCAAATAATTATTCATGTCATCTGTTCAAATGTGTTGGAATTGTTTTCTAGCTAATTTTGTACCCTTTTGTTTTTTTTAGTGAAAATGCAATGTATTATTCTAAAGGGTTAAAATATTATGCTAAAAATATATACAAGCTGTCCAATAGAGAGGCAAAGAATAATGCATTTTGAGTACTATGTACTTATTTTATAAAATGGTCCCATGCATCAAGCATTTGGACTTGTCCAATTTCCTCTTAGATGATACATAAATATAGAAGCAAGTGCATATATAAAAAAAATAGTGTGAAGAACATTACATTGTGATCTCTAAGAAAAAAAATGTTGACATAAACTCGACCTCTCAAAAAATAAAAAAAATAAAAATTTTAAGATAAATAAATTTTCTACACCTGGAAAATTGATTTTTTGAATTAATCGGTTCTTGGGTCACATATCATTTTTTCCAAACAAAAATATAAGAAATACGAAAGAAAAAAAAATTAAATGAACAAATATTAAATATAAATAAAATGATGTTATCTGATATTAAATTCTAAATTAAAAACTTACACTCATTTAATTTAACTAATACATATCAGCTAAACTATACATTATTCAATTTAATATTTACAATTATGTATATTATTTATAATACAAAATGTGACTAACTAGACACACATAGTGAGGTAAAATGTCTCATGAGGGGAAGGCATAATCTTAATTCAAACCTTATATTAAAAACTATTAAAGGGTATGAAATTTTTTATTGATAAAGTCAGAGAATAACTGTGAACCAAGATATAGTGTAGTGCATAGTGGGTGCTCAAAAAAGTGCCAGATTTTACTGTTTTGTCTTACATAACAAGTCCTCATTAGAATTGATGCAAAAGCTGCAACTATAGTATAGAAATAATTTTATTATTATTATTCTTGTTATAAATTTCTATAACTAATATTGAATGTTTCATTGAAATTAGACAATAAAGAAAAGTATGATGATTAGTTAGGAAAATAAATTAATAAAAGATTTGGTGGATTACACTGTAACGGCATGCCCGCCGAAAGTATAGAGAATGTTTGTCGCGCCAGTGAAATACCAAACCATTTTCTTTGGACCCGAGTGAACCACGTTTTCAACCTGCGAAAAAAACCGGGTTTTTTTAGTGTTATGTTTTAGAGATTAAATGAACATTTGATATAGAAAAAAAGAGAGAAGAGTTTTAGGTTTGGTTTTACTATAACTTACCTGGCCATGAACAAGGGCAGCAATGGTCATATACCAAGCTGTGTATGTGGTCATTCCAAGTCCAAGAAAAGACCAAATCCTATAGTTATGAAATGAAGGTATGAACACTGTTGTTGCACAACATGCTCCAAATATGTAAGTCCAAGTTCTCTTGTCCAAGTGATCATTTATGTAGTATATGTTACTGCTCAAATCAAAACCATGTTATTTAAGTCCACAAATCTTTAAACTCAATAAATGTTGGTATAAAAAAATGAAAAATTCAAACCTTGCACAAGCTATGAGCTGGATAACGGTTCCAAAGAGAAGGAAAGTGCAGTTGAAAGCCAATCCAATTGCTTTCCAATAAGGACCAAGTAGTCCCTCCAACACTTCAAACCACTAAACAAAATCAAATTAAACCATCAATATGCTTCTATAAACATTTTAACCTAAAGTTTTTTTAATATTCGTTAAACCCCGACGACAAAGATTTTGACGTCTCTACAACCATAATTACAACCGCATTGACTATAACTAATCACAATTTTTGTTTGCTCTGCAACCCTAATTACAATCACACTGACTACAAGTAACCATAATTTGTGTCGACAAAGATTTTAACGTCTATCCAACCCTAATTACAATCGCACTAACCATGTCTAACCACAATTTTTGTTTGCAAAATGGTTGATTACGATACGATTTTGATTGTAATTACAACCGCGCCAAATATATCTAACCAAAATTTTTGTTTGCAAATGCAATTAAAATTTTAAAAACAATTTATAAGAAAATAAATTTTAAATTTTATTTGAGGATGTGACTATGACCTGAATGACATGATTTTTGAAGTTGACATTCTCTTTCTCTTTCCTGCTTCTGTACTCAATATACAGAATGCTAATCAAATAAGCAGTCCAACTACCAAGCAATCCATAGAAGATTTGGAATATGATCCCAGAAACCATTCCCAACTGAGAGAATGAGTATGGCAGTGTCAACAAAACCTGAGCAACCTGCGGAATAAATAGTCTCGTTAAACCAGTTCAATTCATAGTTTTTAAAGGATTAGGTGTGCAGAGACGAAGCGAGTTCGAACTCTTAACTGATTAGATAAATATATTTAAAATTTAAAATAAATAAAAAAGAATCAAATTCTCTTAAAAAAAAGAGAGTCACATCACAGTCAAAGAATCTAAGTTCCAATGATGAGACTGGAAAAAAAATCTAAAAAATCACTACCTGATTTGAAGCACAGCTGAACCAAGCATCATAAACAGAACCACCATGCCAGAGAAAATTCTTCAAACCAGAAGCTGAATTTCCACCTTTTTCTTCTTCTCTTTCTTCATTCATCACCTCATTTGTTTCATTCAAGCTTGACATCATTATCTCTTCACCTTGTTTCTCTGATAACATTGTTTCTGAGATTATAAAGATCTTCAAAATCAAACTTAAAAAGGAAAAATTTTGACATAATAAAAAAAGTAAAAGAAGAGATTTTGTTACCAACCCATGAAGAAAAAACATAAAGGGTCATCAAAACTCACCTAATATTCTTCAAGTTTCTTCAATTTTGTAGTGGAATTCGAAAAGGCTTTTCAAGAGATTTATAGCACAAAAACAGAGAAAAAACAGAGTATTGTTTTTTTTTTTGTTTTTGTTTAATGAGGTGTGTATGTGTTTGTGTTTGTCATGTGAGAGAAACTTTCTTGTAACTGATACCAAACACAACACGTAACACTTGTCAATGAAGGCAAAAAAGAAAGAAGGAAAACAGAGGAACCTTATTGGCTAATTGTTGCGGTAAAAAAAGTTGAACTTCACTCTCACTAGGTTGTGTTGTTCACCAATAGAGAGAAAAAAACAGAGTCTTAAATATGGTTTGTTAAGGTAACTGAATCAGAGTCATAAATGCTGGTTCTGTAGAGAGAATTGGCAGAGAAAAACAGTTTTCAAAGCATGAGAAATGATGGAGAAAAGCTCAGCATGCAAGAAATAGTTAATGGTTTTTGTTAAGAATAAATTTAAGAGGTGTAAATAAAAGGTTCAATTTAGAGGATTGAGATCTAACAAAAAGAGTATATTATTATAGTACTTGAGATGAGAGAGAGAGAGAGAGGTAGAGAGAGAGAGTCTTTTAGTTGAAGAAGGTTGAAAAAACTGAAGGTAAAATTGGAAAAATGGGAAGAAGTTGAAACTATGTGTTTGGATTTATGGGTGAGAGTTTATAGAGATGTTTGGTTGTAAAAAGGCTATTGAAAATGTTTATGTTTAGTCACTATTGTGTATTTGAAGGCTAGTATAGTACTAGTATATGGTATGGGTAGAGTAATAATGTTTATAAATTATTGGTGGGGTTAAAAGCAAAATCAATTTTCACTAGTGAACCCCAATGAATAATAAAATTATTGTTTGATATATAGAATAAGAGATATGATATAATTATATGAAATATTCTATTTCAATCTATTGATATAATAGAATATAATAAATAAATTTATAAATTTTTGTTTATTAATACTATAAATTTTTAATGGGAATTTAAGTTGGGTAAAAAATCAATGGATATGGTAAGAAAAGAAATTTTGATTTATTTCTATATATAAGTTCATGGCACCCTTTCTTAGCTAATACTACGTCTTAAAGAAATTTATTTTTCATTCAATTTCATTCATAAATACTTTGATTAATAGAAAAGTAAATACAAAACCTTCCATTTAAAGAAAAAATGAAGAAACCTACCTAATAATAATAAATATGAATTATGAGATTTCTCCCCCTCTTCTTCTTTCAAAGTGAGATACTGTTGAAAAATGGGTGATAGATTTTTAAAAATTTATTTAAAGATCATTCTAAAGAATGAAAAACACATTTGTTTGTATCACTTAGAACAATGAGAATTATTATGAGTTTATATATTTATCTCTTGAAGCGTCGAGAAGAATGCAAATTATTAACACTAGAAGTTTGTACGGTCTCTACTTAATTCACACAACAATGTCTTGGAACACGTCGATGTTGGCTCAAGATTTTTATAGTGGAGACTCAATAATATTTACTTTTTAATTTAATATTTTTATTCTATTAATGTATATTTATTTAATTATATTATTTTAATTAATTCAATAATTTGACCAACAATTATTAGAAAGATTGTTTAGATAAATAAAATTCATTTTATTATTAATATTAACATAATTAATATTTTCTTAAAAAGTGAGCGAAATTAAGAAAAGATCTTGACCGCAAATACTTTTTCAAAAAAAAGATGTAAAATATTTTATATTTTAAAAAAAGTATTTTAATTAATATGAATAATAATTATTAATTGGTGAACATCAATACACTTTAAATTGAATTGAAAAAGTATCATTTATTCAATCAAATATGGTTATTCAATCCCATATCATATTTTAACATTATTTTATCTAAAAAAGTTAAAATTTAAAATCAATTTTCATTAGTGGTGTCAATATTCAACTAAAACTCATAGGTACCAAAAAATTTACTTTATTGATAAATTATATCAGTAAAAAAAGCTCAATTAATTATCAAAATTAATACAATTAATATTAAAAAGTGTACAAAATTCAAAGGACTAAGATAAATGAAAGTCGGCTAAACCAAGATCGTCTCTTGAGAAAGTCCCTCAAGGCACAAGCAGGGAGGGAACTCCACCACATGTCTTGATTAACATAATAACTAACTTTAGATAATCTATCTTCACAAGAATTTTTTTTTCTCTATAAATATGTGAAATCTTGAATGTAAATGAGTGAATAATATGAAGACTATAATGCCATTTTGTCAATAGGTTCCAATGAATAATGTTAATATTTGCGAAAACTATTATAGCCAAAGTAGAATCACTTTCAATCTAAAGATTCCCCCAACCTCTTTTATTTGCACTATCAATAGACCTCAAAATTTCATGAATTTCAATTTAGAGGAGGTAAAAATTTTAATCTTAGCCAAAAATGTATCTTATTGTTACATTTGATTGACGTCATTTTTATAGGAAACATGTGTGATAATATGTGATGATATTATCTGAGACGTTGTGTCTCTCTGTATTCTAATAAGGAAGCAACATGTTGAGCATAATATTTTCTAAACTGTAAGACATTCTCTCTCGTCCATAAACTGATGTGCACGGAGTAAATCACACACACACACACACACACACACACACACACACACACACACACACACACACACACACACACACACACACACACACACACACATATATATATATAATCTGGATTGAGCCTGCACTTGTCTTTCGAACGGGAAGTCTAAAGACAACCTAAGTTAGGGACTGTTGGCCAACTCCCCACCCGACTGTTGGAGGACGTGGCCCATGATCCCACGACAGCCATCTTAAACTGTCCTCCTGAAATCACGGGTCCAACCCTGTTCTCGCGGAGCATTTGACCAGGGGAGAGTCCACTTGCTGGACTCCATACACACGTAAGCCCTGGCAGTTCCTGTTATTGGGCCTTAACATGGCCCAATAGTGCGAACCTTGCCCCAACGCTGAGGGTTATAAATACCCTCTCTCCTAAGAGGGTCAGGTATTCAATTCAACATCTCTCTGAACTCGTACTTGCTTGCTCATTCCGCAACTTACTTTTTCATCAGAGTATCTTGGAGGTACCCTCCCCATCTCATTCAACTTCTGGCCGAGCTAGCTGCGACAGTCCATTTCTAATCCGGTAAGATCAGTGGCGCCGTCTGTGGGAATCTTGCTTCCCTGTCTTCTATTTGCTTGAGACTAAAGCTAAATAATCCCCGACTATCATGGCTGATGAGACTCCAGATAACATGAACGTTTGTATCATCGACGTCAACAACAACATTATCGACAACAATGCCAACCTCGACAACACCGGTATTGCCGGCCATAACACAACCCCCGACGTTAATATGCTCGGGCCTTCTGACTATAGAGACGGAGAAAATGCTCCCCGGAACTACCAACACGTCCAGTTCCATGAGGTCCCCGTTCCTGCGGGGCAGACGCCGCGACCAGGGCATTGTTCGCGGCAATAAACCAGACCAACTACCTGATCTTCGCCCAGGGAGAAAGATTGAGGGCGCTCGAAGATGACCGGAGACCCCCAAGACGACACAGGAGACCTCAATATCCTCCTACTTGACAAGCAGAGGAACATCCCTAATCTCCCCCGCGGAGATGTAGTCGAGACATCTCTCGAAACCCGTCTCCCCGACCAATCAGGCGACGCCCCACATTAGAAAGGGAACAACCCGTTGATACAGGAAGGCGCGATCACGACCCCTAGCGTCAAGAATGAAGACCCTCTGGAGACATAAACGAGGGAAACCACGAACGACCATACAGCCCGAAGACTGCTTCGCGCGACCAGGGCCACCGTAACCGCCACCACATCAGATCTTTGTCTCGCTCGCCCGAACAGAGTGACGAGGATGACCCATGCGGTCCCTTGTAACAAGCTATCATGGAGGAACCCATTCGCCCGAGCATGGAGAAGCCTCCCCACCTAAAGGAATACGACGGCATCACTGACCCGGTCGACCATATAGACGGGTTTGAAGCCATGTTGCACTATCACAATGTCGGGAGACCAATCAAATGACGGTTGTTCCCCACGACTCTGACAAAGCTGCGATGGACTGGTACAAAGGTCTCGCCCCGGGGTCAAATACCTCTTGGAAAAATCTGAAGAACCAATTCATCAGTTCATTCACTACTTCACGATGACACCCGAAGACCGAAGCAGCCCTCGAGGACATCGTCTAGAGACACGATGAGACCCTGAGGGAATTTATTGATCGTTTCAACCGGGAGGCCATCCAGGTCCCATGTACGGACCACATGAAGAGATACCTGCTCGAGAGGGGACTCCTCCCAGGCACGGAATTCAGAAAGGCCGTAGGCATCGAACCACCTTGGACATTCGATGCCCTCCTCTAGAAGGCCAGAGCCTACATGGACTACGAGGAGAGAGAAGCGGCCAACAGATCCCGGGATCCCAGGAATCACGGATCTACCAGTCATCTGCGATAAGACACCGCCCCTCCTCGACGAACTAGCGATAAGAGAAGGGACGACAAACCCCGAGACGCCCGGGAACAAAGGGGACCCTCGGGGAGGTTCACTGAGTACACTCCACTAACGACTTCCTGCAAGCGCATCTTAGCGGAGTGCGCGAATAAAAATTTCAAGGACGACGACGTCAAGCTTCCTCGCTCTGCTCCTACTAAACCCAGGGTAGATCGAAGCAAGTACTACCAGTATCACCGGAGCCATGGGCACCTGACCGAAGATTGTGTCCATCTCAAGGACGCCATCGAGACCCTCATAAAAGGGGGGAGACTCGGGCAATATCGACGCAGCAACTCCCCTCGTCGAGATACCTGTGAAACAAGGG